CTGAAAACTCATGTTTAAGTATCCACGCGAGCTTCAAGTTGGTATTAACTAAACTACGTGAGTGACATGCGGTTCCAAAGCTTCAGAACCGCTCTGGCTACCTTTCTTTAATAGCTACACAGAGATAACTTCGTTTTGACCTCTCAGTGACTCAATGTCCATTTCGCCTCTTATTAATCTTGTTCATTGACAGTCTTTGTTAAACAACAAGGCGTGAGCTCTGAAAAGGTGACATTTTCATATTTGTTAGACGCAGTGACCTTGCTTTTACCCCGGCCTTGGACTTCGTTTATCCCCTCAGGGAACCGGGTCCTTCTGGAGGTCGGATATATATATATATATATATGTGTGTGTGTGGTGTATATATGTCGGCATATATATCTACTCATAATAATAACTGTTATTAGAATGTTGTTTAATTATTGGATCTCACTTCTTGATAAATTAAAATTTCTTGATAAATTAAAATTGCTAACGAAAAGTATTTTAACCGTACGGTTTTAACACAAAGCTCTAAGCCAAGGATTTTGTTTTCTGAGGCCCATATAAAATAATACCATGTCGTCTGTTATTCATTATATACTTCTCTCTCTCTCCTTTGTGTACAAAACTGGAGGCCTAAAATTAAACATGCTGCAATGTTTACATATTTAAAACAAGTAAAACTAACAATTCATCACAGGATCAGATGAAAGAAAACTCTGATTTTGGATATTTAAAACTCACATCTAAATGTGTTCTTCATGTAATAATATGGATAAAACATAAATAGGGGAGACCGGGGCTAGCACATTATTATTCCAGTGCATATTACGTTTTGAAAGTCATTCGAAGGAGCGAAAATGAGAAAGAATAGCTGCCGATAAATTGGCTATAAAGAGGCTTAAACATTAAACCGATTAATTAGTAAACAGTTAAATGCAACACGAAAAATGTAAAAGGTAACAGACACTTCTCCAGCAGATTGCATAAATTGACACCACTTAAAACATACGGGGCAACCTGCAACGACCTGTTTTTTTTGTTGTTTTTTTAAATACCCTTGTTTTTACGTTTAATTTTAACCTAGTGTGTTTTATCGTGTTAAATTGACCGAACTGCTTTTATAAAATACAATGATATTGCACTTTCATTTGAGGATATGATTTTAAAATAAATTGTATTGTTAATTTGAACTGCATTTGGCTGAAACCAACATATAAAATCAAAATAATTTCAAATCGCGAGCATTTCTGTAATTGGACTTTTGATTTTATTACAGAGATTTATTACAGCCTACAACCGTCGTGTTTCTCAGTAACAACTAGCTCCGGTCTCCTATAAAAAAGGAATATGGCCATTTCAAGTCATCGCGTCTTCTGTAAACCCGTGAAACGAACTGTCTAAACGAATATACAACTTTGGACAAAATTATTCGAAATGATTCAAATTTTGTGGACACAAATGTGTGTGATTCAGATTTATTTATAATGCCGGTTTTTGTTTAACTTTTCTGTATGGCAAAATTATACTTAAGATTTTTTTTCGGAAAGGTCAGATATTTTCACAAAATGTAGGCCTGTGCGTTCTTTAAAGAATTAAAAATGTGTATTAAACAGAAATAAACTATTGATTTATCCAATAAAAAGGTGCAAATTTGATTATTTATTATTTAAACTATTTGAGGTTTGTAGGCCTATTCGCAAAAAAGAGAGCGAAAGAGAGAGAGAATTTAATAATATATATATATATATATTCGGCGTCGATGCTTCGCATGTCTAAAACGAGATTTGTCCCAAAGTGATGAGTATTACATAAAATGATTTGTAAGGCAATTCCAAATTATTTTATTACAAATTACGTCTCAATACCGCATCGGCCTCGTTTAGTCCTGATTTACCAGTAAATAATGCTAGACAGCATGTTTTGCTTTTATTGTTTTTTTTTCCGTTTTCTTTTCTTCTGTTAAAATTAACGAATGGTTAGTTTTCAAGATGCTACAACATGGAAAAAAACTCTTCAGAACTATGCAAGCAAAGAAATGTTCATTGCGGATATATTATTAATCCTAAATGCAAATGTCCCGTCGAATCTATGGTCATCAAATTGGATTTATTCAAAGGAAATGCACCAATCAAACCCCTTAATAAAACCTGAATACTCAATCTCTGGCACAGGCGTAGGAGGTAGTCTCTTGGGGATGCTAACCCAGGGTCACCCAGCTTGCAGAGTTCATCGCGAGGTTAGACCAGAACTCACGGGATTCACAGCTATTCCATCTTTTGTGCCATTATAAAAGTGGCACTGCTCTCTACAAGAACAGATGACAGCTACTTGTTCTGCTGTAAACTTTTGACCCCGGCCCTCCCCCCTACCTTTACAATCTCACTCTCTCTCTCAGACAAACAAGCACAAATAAACAGATGGATACAAACAAGCCTTCAAGCTCATCAACTTTCTTTCTCCCCTTTTCTCTCTCTTTCATTCTTTTCTATGCTATTGTTGTCCCCATACATCGTTTATATCTTCCATTTATCATGACCACTAATATTAGGCCAAAACTATTAATATGTTATCAAACCGCCTTTATATCTCCAGACAGCTTGGCCTGCTGTAGCCATCAATTTCGTTCTGCTGATATCCATGCTGCACCCAGATTTGTAAACCATTTCTATTCTACCGAGAGTTCCTGCAATTAAAGGTGTATGCGGGAGTTATTATACTTTTTCTTTCTGTCTTTTCTATCCTTATAGGGAGAAGGGGCGCCAATGCGGGTGACACTGAACTTGGCCAAAAGCGAGCTCTGCTGGTGGTTTACGGCGTGTGCACATTCATCTTCCTGCCGCCGCTGACCTCACGGTGAACCAGGAGAGAAGACATTTTTCTTCAGTCCCTCTCTCTCCTTCATTGTCTATCGAATTCTGTCTCTCTCCCACTCGCTCTCACACTTCAGTTTAAGTATGCGGATATTATATGCGCATTTCCTCAAATAAGGCAAGCAAAAAACATCTTTGTGTTCTGCATCAACGTTTAGCCTATATTTTTCCCTATACTGCCTTAAAGTTAAAACAGAACAGCATTGATGGTTATGATACAGTGTTGCTAAGCATTAGTGGTGCATGAAGATGTTTATGATTAATAATTACTCAGTTGTATCAGATTTCAAGTCACAAGATTGCCACTTGGTCAAAATAAGCAGAAATATTAACAAATTATCTATACTCTGATAGATAGGCTATTAAGCGTATAAAAATATATTGCTAACAGAGGAAAAACATTTTTGCATATGGGATAGATAGATAGATAGATAGATAGATAGATAGATAGATAGATAGATAGATAGATAGATAGATAGAGTCTTCCTATCCTTTCTCTCAAAACTTTTAGGCAATTATGGTGGGGGCAAATTTGTGCATAAACATCTAACAAAAAGTCCTGAAGGGTGTGGTTGATAGCAGAAAAACTAACAAAAGTCATCTAAACGTCTTTTTAAAAATCATTATGTAATGCATAGGTACAAAGGGCAGAGAATGTTACAGTATAGGAAGGAAGCAATTACAGTCAAAGAGCAATGCCCCCATACCACCCATCTGCCGGACAAGCAGGTTTTCGCAATACAAGCCCTAATTAACGTAGTTGGAACATGAGTTAATTTATGTTCTGCTCATTGTTTCACTGAGGGCCTAAAGAAAAGTTTGTCTCTCAACAGCAGCGAAAACCCGAAACAAACCAACTCGAACTTACCAAGAGCTGACCCTCGTCCACCCGAGTGAATCCGGTCGACGTGTTTCCAATCCATAGCAAACTGGTTTGTCAAAAGCGGTTGTGGATGCAGTCAAAGAACACCTCGACGGTCTGCAGAGAGAGAGAACGAAGCTCCACGTCAGTGCGATTAAACTTTATATGCGATATAGTGTCGACTCCCCAAAACCATAAAACTGACTTTAATTGCCACCACGTGACTGTTTTATGGCCAGTGAGCCTATCTGCCGTCTCACTCCGGGTGAATTTTACGATCTAATTCGTGGACCAAACCTCATTATTTATCTTACCCGCCAATGTCACAGATCCAGAATGGTAAAGGCTCTAGTAAAGTTTGCCGCTTAAAACCCTGTACAGATTTCCAAAGAAGAGAAAAGTGGACGACAATGGGCGTGGACGCACACTTATGTTGAGAAGTTGGCAAGGGGGACCCATAAGTGCCCTTTCCACATCGGGTGAGTAAAGTAGTGATTACAGTGCGTCTACCTGTTGAACCACTTAAACAAACTTTTACAAAAATTAGGAAATTGTTCTAAACAATCTAGAATTTAAACAATGCCTTGCATAAAATGTTTATCTAAGCTTCCGAAAGTGGAATATGGTATTTTGTAGTTTTATGACTAGGTACTAATACGCTACTCACCCGTCACCCTCACATTAATAATCAAACACTTATGTGATACATTTCACATTATGTCTGTCACTTACACACACACAAAGAATAATAATAAAAATAAAATAAAAACACCTGACAAAACACTGAGATCTGATTTTTTTAAGTAAAAACTTTATTGTTATAAACACTGCATTTATCGTTGGCAACGATGCACTTCCAGTTATCTTTCAAATTTCACGAGAAGGAAAATAATTCGCGTTTCCCCCAACATTTGAAAACTTACAACACAAACATATTCGAGTAGAAAAATTAGGACAAATATGCGGACAAGTCTGAACGGAACGATATTATCAATACACAAAGATGACAGTACAACACGAACAAAACAGGTATTCTGCTTCAACTTCACAACAAATAAGATACAATCGACATTTGATATCGAATTTAAATAAATGCATAAAATACATCAATTCGTATTTACAAACCAAAAGACATTTAAAAAAATTTTTTAAGTTATGCTTCATTTGGTAAGAGTCAAATATTTTCAGAGGTTTGCTTACCCAATGCACCTTTCAGAAACTTTTTTTTCAGAAGCATTTTTCGTCAATACGTGTTATATTAATTTACACCTTTATGTGGCTTTTCTAAGACAGTGCAAAGATCTATCCACATTCGCAACATTACATGAAAACACAGAGAGGAAGTGTTTGTTTGATTTTTTTCTGACCAAGGACGCAACACGGGGCGTTCACTCTCTCAAGACCAGTGGAAAGTTCTTTTGTGAAATGGGCAAAGTCTTCATCCCCTTTTTGAACACACACTTAGAATAAGGAAACAGACGCGCACCCGTGCACACATACCTATTCAAACACTAACAGATTTAATTTATATATGCAGATATATAATATATACACATTTTCACGGCCGGTATCCGCTTCCTGCAGCCGCCATATTCATACTCTTCAACTTGTTGTCCTTTTTCCATTTCATTCTGCGGTTTTGAAACCATATTTTGATTTGCCTCTCTGAGAGACAGAGCGTGTGTGCAATCTCAACTCGTCGGCGACGTGTCAGGTACCGGTTGAAGTGGAACTCCTTCTCAAGCTCAAGTGTCTGGTAACGTGTGTAGGCTGTCCTTGGCCTTTTCCCCTCCGGTCCGGTCAAACTGTCTGTATACACAAAAGTATGACATTGTAATTTTTATAATTTTAATGTACTATAATATATATTATGCAATGCACGACTCAAAACATGATTGAAAGGACATGCATCAACCTCAAAGCATGCATGACATTCTCAGGGACAGAAAGCATAACAATTCATTCGGATAATTTCCTCAAATTATCTAAAATGGAATCAGTTTTATTAATGAATTTAATAGCACGGACCATTCAACTGGATAATCGACAAGACAATTATTAATATAATTAGGTCCTTTCATTTTTATAAAGAAAATCTATTTTAATTTTTTAACAAGACATGGAGCCAGTGAACTAGGACGTCATGCTAGCTGTGACATATTTCGATATAACAGTCCAAAACCAAAGTAAACTAACCGTATTGGCATTAAACGTCCCAAACTGATTTTGTGTGAAATTTGACGGGGGATCATTCACACCATACTACAACACTCAGAACACACACAGAAAAAAGCAGAACTTTGCTGTTTACCATGACTTAAATGAAGTTTTCGCATCCATGGATAAATCTGCGGCGCCTCGGATACATTCTGTGCACTTCTGTGTGTCTGCGCACTTCCCGGTGGCTTTTCTTCCTCCATAGTGCTGGACGCTTTAGAAACGTCCTCGCGACTGAGAGCCGTCCCGATGCTGTTGGTCGCAGAGCCAGCGGTGCTCGGTAGTGAGGTTTTCAGGGCGCGGTGTGACTGCTCGCTGACAGGAGAGTTGGCTAAGGATGAGTAGGGGAGAGGGTCAGAGGAAGGCTCAGCGCTGCTCGCGGTAACCGGTTGATTGTACCGGTCAGGCGTCTCAGTTGGACTGTCTGTGTAGCTTTGAGTTTGCTCACCAGATGAGAGAAAGTGTCCGGTGGTAGAGCGCCCGGTGCTGAGATCCATTCCATTGTAGCCAAAAGCATACCTGCCCGAATGCATTCCCGTAGAATCTCTGCATTGGCCACTAGAGCTATGATCTCCATAGTTATGTAAGGGATAGTCCGCGCCATTTGGATAGCGACCGCAAAATGAGTTCACAAAATAAGAGCTCATTGGTTGACAGTTACCTTATAATTATTTTTAGTTACTACAACTACCTTTATGGAGAGAACAGTTCTACCGTGTGTGTTTGATTTGTGTCTCTTGGTGGTTTTGAGCTTCTATTGCACCCTTGCAAAATTTATGATGAATTATGGAAATGAGTGAGACACAGACTTAATGCTCCCTTACGTAGACTCCCAAATATGGGGTACGGCTTAGAGTCACGTGTTTTTGTTGACCAGTCGTAAATCCTATTCTGTGACCTCCAGCGGTAAACTCACGCGTAAGCAGGAAATCAGGGTGGAATTGTTTGGACACGGGAGCGCGCAACAAGAGTTTCACCGAGCTAGCTGTTGTGTGCTCTGCAAGATTGTAGCGGCGCGCCACCCTCTGGTTATAGGCGGGACTACCTAAACCATCAGACTGGAGGCGAGCACGCGATGGGGTCATTCAAAGGGTAACGACTCTGCGGTAGAAAAATTGTATCTGCTGAAACAATGCGCCGTGACCTGCACACAAAACACGCGCACCAGAAGGTCTAATAGATTTAGTAGATTCAAAAACACACGTAACTAGATGTTTGAAATAAACAATCGTCAACAAGAACACATCAATAATACAAATAAATAAAGAAATACTCGAGTATTGCATACAAAATAGGCCGAATAACTCCTCATAATATATTTGGTTTGAAAACAGGATATTTTTTAAATTATGATTTAGTTTGATCAATTCTAATATTTATGTCTTCAAAAAGAAACTGATCATCTAGCAGCTGATCCTTGGTCAAACGCTTTGAATAAAAACGCTTTTTGTAACAGACATTTTAACCTAAGCAATATGTAGAACATGGGCGTCGCTAGGCCATTCTTAGGGGGGCTATAGCCATTCCATAAAATGAAGCACATATGAACGCATATTTTATAAAACGATCGTGTTGATATTTTCATTTGAAAATTTAACTTTCAATATGATACATATTCCAATGCATGTGGCAAAGAGGTTTGTATAGGCCTACTTGAGATAAGGAATACTAGAAACGCAAACAATAAAATGTTGTGTTTGTAGTAAACAGGTTGTGTGTGTGAGATCATGAAGACTTGAATTTGGCTTATTCAGAACTCAAATGGTATACCTATCCATGCAATACAATGGAATACTGCAATAAGTTTAGTATACGACTATTAATCAAACTTTTATATATACTGCAATAAGTTTAGTATATGACTATTAATCCAACATTTTTTAATTTATATATATATATATTTTTTAATTAGGCTATTATTATTATTATTATTATTATTATACCCTCACTGGGGGCCGAGCCCCCCTAAAATGAAAATCCTAGAATCGCCCCTGATGTAGAAACGTTAATTTATTAACTAGAACCTAAATTGACGAGAACACTGCGCTAAAAAGTGCATTGTTAAAATTCAGCTTTACTAACACTTTATTTGGGCCTACTTTGATAAGCTGAAAAACAGCTAATTGTAGTTGAAGTATATTGGAATATATTAATAAAATAGCACTTATTTAACAAGAAACATTGCAAATAAATTAATGAATAAATAGTCTGAACAAATGAAACTGTGCTTAAATTTAATTTACTGCTAGAGTCCTTGAGATATTGGCTATTTTCGGCCCTAGTTCAGCACCTCGAGACCAGACAGCTCCGGTAAAATAACCCGATTTTATGAATGTGCGTATCAATACCACGAGTTTCTATTTGGCGTATTATTTATACGCAGAAATTGACTTTGGCCTGCATATGATACAAAATGGTTAGGATTAGGGGTGTGGGGTAAGTGCGTATTAAATGTACGCCAAAACTGCGTATTATATGCACGTCAAACACGTGATATCACATGCACGCCAAAATCAATGTATGCATATAAATAGCACGCCAAATAGAAACCGAAAATCGTGCTATTGATACGCATTTTTATGAGATCGGGCTTCGTTCATTCTGCTTTCTGCCTCTCCAACAGAGATGCAGCTATAATTTTCACATTTAATAAATGTGAAATGTGGTGCGAAAACGTTGTTATAAAAATCAAACCTAAAAAACTATTTAATGACTCCGAACATACTTAAGCCTCTTTACATTTTGTATAGCCTATAGGCTATAGCCCACACATGGCTTAACAAAACTCACAGAAATTGATTTGTTTTTAGTCAAACAGTTTACACAATGTATACAGTCCACTAGATTAAACAAAACAGATAAAATAAAATGAAACACTTAATTTTCAGAAATTCAACATGCAAGTTGTGACATTGTTGCAATACCAAGAGGTCTACACACTCTGGTATTGCAGATGTTTCAAACAACCTGACAAGACCATTTTCTGTCTTCTGTCAAGGATCTGGAATCTGTAGGCTCTGGAATGATTCCTTGCCGTTTCACATCCCGCAGCAACTTTAACCTGCTTGTTCAGCCAGAAAAGTGGTAGATCACCACCTAGTGGTGTTTTTTATGTACAACCATTTACCTCGTCATTAAAATAGAAGAGCTACAGAATTATGCCCAGCTCTTATTAATTGTCTTCTTTTGTATTTATAGATTTTATAGGCCCTATAAAAATTAAACATCCTATAGGTCCCCTTTCCCTGATAACGATGGATGTTAGCTCTAAAGAGCGTTCTGGAAGATTTCTACGTTCTGCTTGCTGAAAAAATAAAATAAATCAATGAAATGAAATGCTTAAAATTTGAATTGAATTTGAATTTACATTTTAAAATCACATTATAAAACCAACCGCATATTGTACATATATGGCAAATAGTCGTAAATTTAGGTGTAATTTTGCAGTTGCCCTGTAGGTGACTGCATAGTCTGTCTCTTTATTGTGCACGTCCTAACTATATGAAACTTTTGAGGAAAAGACTGTATTTCTAAGAACTTTTCTGAAACAAGGACCACACCACAGCTCTTCCTTTAACGCAAGTGCGATGCACTGAATGCTTATATCATCATCAAATTCAACAAACCGTTACATCGACATACATACTGATTTGCACAACCCTCTCACTTCCTCAAATACAAATACTGTTTATATGCAATAAAATCTGTTCCAAATAGGAATATAACTTTAATTAATCAGCCTTCTATTTTTAATTAAGCTGCTTTTATCAAGACATGACCAATATTTGAAACGTTTAGGCTGCATAGTGAAGTTATTTGACATACCCTATAGTTTTAAATGCACAATATAGTCTTGTGGACAACCAACGACGACGACCTCTCCATCCAGAACAACAAACAAACAAACCTAATTTTAAATCTAAAATTTTCTAAAAAATAAATAAATAAATTGTGAGCAGTTACATGACATCAAAACAACCCCATGCCTTACCGTTCAGTGTGTATGTTGGTCCACGAAGGCAAGAAACAGAGGTTGGTGACGAAAAATACTTCACAGCTCTTCGGAAAGCTTCTTTATCATATCATAGTGTGCCAAACAAGATAAGCAGTTCTCTCTTTACTGCCAATGCAATGCCCAATTCGATGGCAGCGAATGTAGAATTGTATAGGCTACCTCAAAATTAAAAGACAAGAAATTAACAACCGACGAAATGTGGAAAAGCGGAGGTAAAAGAAGGCTAGACAAAGCAAGGTCGGGAGAAGAATGCAGCTCTATTTTGGGTAGGGATGCATACACATAAAAAGTTAACGTTCATGTGGCCTTAAAACACGTGACCAACTGGTAGCCAATAGGAGCTAGAGGTAGCTCATAAAGTTGGTCGGCAAAGTAGTAAATTTTCATAAACAACAACAGATTTATAGCTTCTCTAGGGAAGAGGACAGAGGTGGGGGCTGGTAAAGCAATGTTTGCAGCCAAGCGCCATTTTACAAGTAGCACATAGGAAAAGTAGCTCTATAGATTGATCCGCATTACAGTGAAATAACTCAACTTTTTTTTCCCATCAGATTTTGAATTGATATTTTACTGCTATTAATTTAACCGCATAAACACCAAATTAAATAAATATTGCTTAAATATGCTACACATATATGCTAATAATAAAAAAAGTTTCCAATTGTGGAGGATAATTTACTCTCCTTCAAAAAAAAAATCTATTCAAATATTTAAGGACCACAATATTTAGACAATATGTTTTACTTTAAAATGTATGTTTAACACTTGCAGTCTAAGAGTGCATAGGATTATATGAGAAAAATATTTTGTATTATTTAGTTGTAAAGCTGTCATTATACGACCAGTGTTCTTTCTAATGTCCACATTAACACTGGGGTGTTAAGTTTATATGTTCCCAGAATTGAGAAACTTCATACTGATGTTATAAAGACATGCTGTTGCTATTTGAATTATGTGACTAATTGAACGTGTTTATACAATATACACAAATATACGAGTTTTCACATTTGGTGTCCCCTCCTGAGTCTTTCTGACAGCGGGCCTTCCGTTGATGTCATGTTGGCTTGGCACCCCATCAGATTTTGAATTTATATTTTACTGCTATTAATTTAACCGCATAAACACCAAATTAAATAAATATTGCTTAAATATGCTACACATATATGCTAATAATAAAAAAAGTTTCCAATTGTGGAGGATAATTTACTCTCCTTCAAAAAAAAAAATCTATTCAAATATTTAAGGACCACAATATTTAGACAATATGTTTTACTTTAAAATGTATGTTTAACACTTGCAGTCTAAGAGTGCATAGGATTATATGAGAAAAATATTTTGTATTATTTAGTTGTAAAGCTGTCATTATACGACCAGTGTTCTTTCTAATGTCCACATTAACACTGGGGTGTTAAGTTTATATGTTCCCAGAATTGAGAAACTTCATACTGATGTTATAAAGACATGCTGTTGCTATTTGAATTATGTGACTAATTGAACGTGTTTATACAATATACACAAATATACGAGTTTTCACATTTGGTGTCCCCTCCTGAGTCTTTCTGACAGCGGGCCTTCCGTTGATGTCATGTTGGCTTGGCACCTTGTCAATACAGAGGTAATGATCGAAATATAGCCTAGGTAGGTCTAAAGGTATTTATGCATTTCTTTTTAATCTACACGATTGCTTCAATGAGAGACATGCATTGCATTTTATTAATGCAATGGTGAGGATTTATTAGTTAGGGCGACGTCATCGCTCATGACTAATTAAAATAAGTTCTTGGTTTTGTATTAATACATTTATTATTACATTATGAAAGTTTATATGACTGGGATCTAGTAGATCTCGGTCAGTAGTTACAAGAAACAGAATCCATGGTTTCTTTAACATGGTATGCTATAAATCTTGGAAGCGGACACAACGACAGAAATCAATTATGCAACCAGATACGCATAGGGGATGCTCTAAATTAAAACACACCGAGTAATTAATTTATTACCACAGAGCCCAGACATTAAAACGTTTACGACTTCACGCATGCATGAACAGCTGTGTCGATGGTTTAGGATATAGTTGCAGGACACGTCTCTGCAGCCTCTGACACCAGATACACAACAAGCTGTTTCAAATAAACGTGAAAGTCATACCTTACATTCCAATTTGAAGATACACATTCGGGAGG